AGAGAGCGGGGTTTGAATTGAAACTATATTTACATCCAGTCCCTCAGAACGTAAAATTAAGAAAAAACAATCGGTCTCTATTTTCGCCATGGGATTGTATAATATTGATCAGTACATACTTTTTAAAGTATTTCTTTGAATTGGAAAAAAAGAGACCCTTTTCTTCTAAGGATGCGATATACTCAAAATCCACAATGTGCATTTACTATTACTTAAATAATAAACATAAGTGAGTGAATTAGAACGGATAAAATTATACCCCAGCCATGCAGTGTATTCATATATTAATCCAACTGTGAACTCACACGGAAATAATGCTTCGGGACAATAAATTGCTACCACTCGCCCGAGGAAATATCTTCTATCTCACAAAGTACCTAATGCAGCCAAAGAACAATATTCAGTAATGTCCAGTTCTTTTAGCAAGTGAGGCTGCCAGAAGGGAAGAGTAATTGGGTCAAGGTCCATGCCACGTCATCAATATTTGGCACATTTGGTCAAGAGTAAATTCATAAAACAATAAAACAAGATATATGGCAAACAAGGGTCTATACTTTTCAGCAGATGTATCTTAAATTTAACCATTTGGCTAACATCTCTCCAGTAAAGCGCAATAGACAATTGAAAGTTTAAACTTGTCATGTAACTAACCTAAGTATGATAGGTATATATATTTTAGGAACTATTAAAGCAATAGGAGATTAAAATATTTTAATAGAAGAAGATAAATTGATCTATATCGATCTATATCAGACCGCAGACGAGATTTCCAAAAAATGGCAGAGAACCGTAACTAAGGGGCTAGCTTCATTAAATACTTGCAAATAAAGTCGTTAATAGCCTATTAATAACTTAATATTCCAGACTAGCTGACCCAGCGAACTTCGTACCGTTATAAAAATAGGAGCTGGTGGTAGAAGGGTGAATATTTAGTGTTGTATGTATTTTAAAGTGACAAATTAAAAAAAAATCGTCCAAAAACTAAAAATAAAATGTTAGGGTGGACAACCCTTATCACTGAGGGGTATGACAAATAGATAGTAGCCGATTTTCAGACCTAATGAATATGCATATAAAATTTCATAAAAATCCGTTTCCGAGGAGTATGGTAACTAACATTTTGGCACAAAAATTTTATAGATAAGATATACAACAAGAGACAACAAGTTATTATATCTGTAAGATAGTATATACGGCAGATAACTGCCCGAAATTTTCGGGAATTTAATCAGGAACTGGTAAAACATGCGTATCTATTTTAGTCATATTTAAACGATGTGAATAATGCTTCTTCATATTATGATAAAATTTGACAAAACATGACGATTATGGCGGAACATTATTTATTTATACAGCATTAAAGTTGATAGTCTCTTTACTTTCAGTACGTTTATTTACTCATGTACTTTCAGGCTCACATATTTGGGTCTTAATTATATAAGACTAGCTTTCGAGTATCAAGATCTAGGTATACTCGATTTTTTTTCGAGCAGACTACGATCTTCCTCGTATGTTATAAATAAGATCATTAGTATTCTTTACTGCACGGCATGTTTCGGTAATGAGTCCTGTTTTTTTTTAATTCCTCCCTCCTAGTGTTCTTCTAAATAAATAATTCAGTGCAGCAGTGAACCATCTGAAGTCCAAATTTTCTCTTTAGAAAACACCCTTATTCCCTGGAGATAAGTTTCTGAATTATTAACAAGATGTTTTTGGATATTTATGTAGCATTCACACCCGAGAGGTTTATAAAAGTGTACCTGTCGTTTGTTAGTCTCTTGTAGGATGTTTGAAAGAACTGTAAGAAAAAATATTACAACGCCTCTTTCTACGTAACAAGAACAAGAAATTATCAAGACTAACAATATTTTACGAAACTAGAGTTTATAAGTCTAATAAAAGTGGGCAGTTAGCTTATTAAAAAAAAATGCCCTAAAAGGCCTAGCCGAAATTAAGAAAAGGAATTAGTCTTGTTTTAAGTTACTGAGAAATTGAGTTGTTGAAATATGTGTTTTATGTTTACATAGTGGGTGCCCGCGATTTCATCTGTTCTAAACCAAATTTCATGTAAATAATTTCAGCGGTTTAAGCGTGAAGAAATAACAGATAAACAGACAGAATGACAGGTAAAGAGGCAGAAAGGCACACTTTCGCATTTATAAAATATAATAATCATATTATTAATTGGAAAGTAAAGAAAATAGTGTTGTCTGTCACGGACAACAGAATTTTCTTAACTTTCGAATTAATATCTGTTAAAGGTACCTTATGCCCAAGTAAGTCGCTGAACCGATTTTGGAGAACATGGAGATAAATGGGTAAATAGTGTAGAAATATGGGATGTTGTTTATTATTGTTATTATATTGTTTATGTTTGCAATATTTATTATACCCACTAGTGAAACTATAATTGCAATGGAATCCTCATAGATCACCTTTACCTTCGTTAAGGTTAATTAGTATTCATTGGCCTGAATTCTCGACGATAAATCTGTTTACAGTGAATCAGTTGGTTCAATCTAGATCTACAAGTACAGTACAGGGTAGTTCAAGATGCATATTATTCAAACCTTGACACCTTTCGCAATCCCTTTCATTTCATATTTGGGAAAGAGTTTCAGCTCATGAATGACATATCGCACCTTTAGAATTGAAGTGACTTAAATAAGAAAAATAGCAAAATGACTTTTAAACGTGAAACGACATAAAAACATGTATCCTATCAGTTTATTAATAATAAACAGGCTCTTTTAGGCCAGAAGAAGACAAACGCACTATTTCCGTCTCTTTTAAATGACACGCATACCGCGCCTCCCTCAGTATTGAAGTACCCCATTCAGTGTTGCGTGGACATTTATTTAATTTTACTTTAATTTAGAAAATCATTAATTATTAAACTAGCATATGACAAAATTGGTCATCTATCAAATATATAACATCAGAAATGAATCGCCTCTATATTAAATAGTTACGTTTTTGTTTTACGTTGTTTAGTAAAAAATGGGCACAAAGTGAAATAAGCCAATTATAATAAACTGTTTTCGGAAAATAAGTGACATGTTTTTTTTTTATGATTAATTAACAAAGGTTCTAATTAGTTATACAGACTGGTTTAGTAAATAATCGTGAAAACAATTCCTATCCCACCATTAACAATAAAAAATATGATAATAAACGTACAACTTATAGCATTATAATAGAAAAACAAAAAAATGGCCAACTTGTCAATCACATTTATAGTGTTTACCAAAAAACAAGAATTTTGGATTAGGTCACTTCAATTCTAAAGGTGCGATATATGGACACTTGCTTTGCTTTAAGCTTTGAAGAATCATTGATCTCGGAATGAGCCAATTTAATAGGTTACGTTAAGTAAGTAAATTCTGTTCAGTCATTGCTTTCAAAAAACTGAATACTTTATTAAAGACTAGTGGCCCGCCCTCGCTTCGCTTCGGGGTAGAATTGATCAAAATCCTTTCTTAGCGGATGCCTACGTCATAACATCTACCTGCATGCCAAATTTCAGCCCGATCCGTCCAGTGGTTTGGGCTGTGCGTTGATAGATCACTATACCAGTCAGTGACCTTTGAGTTTTATATATTATACAGATATATATATATTATATTATATTACTTTTAAACATTAACCTGCTAGATCTTTAAATTTAAAGAAAATTTGACGAGATAAAAATGGAACTAGTGGATTTTTTCTAATGAATATTTCTTTAGATATTTGATTTAATTTATTATTTTACAAGGTAGGCTTTGTCCCCAGCCATGAAAGAGGCTACCTTGGTCAACTAAGCATCTCCTCGTAGCCATTGTCCTAGAGAAAATTGTAACAATACTCTATGATCGCGTTTTGATATAATTTTATGTAATTATCACCACCAGAGTAGGTCAGGATCGTCAGTATAAAAAGATATTGTTACAGTATTTTCTTCAGTTGCATCGAATCTGTAGTTAATAACTAAACTTGCCGGTAAATAATCAAGTAAGTTCTCATCAACGTTAATATTAATTTTTAATGTTATAGTTTTACGCAATAACGTATTGACTCTTTCACACAGGCTTTGTGGGTAGGTTTTTCTAAAGTGATTTATTCTGAAATAAGTGATGTGCGTGCATGTATACGGAAGTGAGTGAATGAAAATGATCCAAAAGTGAAAGAAACAATAGAAATTATATTTCATTAATGATTTTTAATCCTCTCATAATTTATATCAATTTATTTATTGAGTTTTTTCTTTAAGATGTGGGTCGGACGGATTTTCAACATGCATGTTCAAAGACCGTAACTTTTCTTGAAAGATTCTAGAATTGTCATTTACATTTTCATCAAGCCAACACCGTCTTCCTTCCTCGTAATTCGTCTTACCTGAAACAAAAAAAATCGAAATAAGAGAGTAATAGAATAATTAGTTGTTAATTCTTGACAAAATATAGGTTCTGGAATATACCAAGTTGGTCTACTTGGACTTTGATATCCTCAGACAGAAAAAATAACTAGAAAAATTCCACCAGGTACAGGTTTCAGACGGAATAGAATTAAACATCGAGCAATTAAATGCTTAAAAAATCACACTAAATTATAAAGGCGAAATTTTGTGAGTGTGTGTGTGTATATGCTGTTACTTCTTCACGTCTAAACGGCATGAGCGATTTTAATAAAATTTAGTATGGAGTTAGCCGACACTCTGCATTGACACATGGGATACGTTTTACTGCGGGAAAATATCCCTTATAAACTGCGGGTAACACAGCGGGGCACAGCTAGTATGTAATAATCCTCAGACCAAGATAAAACAATCAAGGTTATAACAATTTGTGAATATCTAGGACACCTCTAGTTTGTTTTATAAGAATACCACTGGCTCCAAATATTTAGGTATAAAAGTATCATTGTCATTAAGTCTTAATCCAGAAAATGTTAGTTTATTATACGAATAAACAATGTTTTCAATCTTAGTTGATATTTTATTGTTTAAATATGTTTTTGTTTCAGTATGAAACTCTTAATAATCGCAGTGGCTTTTGCTATCCCGTGTGTGTTGGCCCAAACAAAGTCATACACAAATAAATATGACACAGGTGGGTTGCAGATTTATTTTTATTTGGCCATTTTAAGGTTAAAAGGGTGGTAATTAGATCGTTTGTACGGGAATCGATGTCGCCAGCTCGACCCCACTACACTTCTCCCTAAAAGATATTAGCCAATCAAACGACGCGACATCAAACAATCGAACCAATCAGTGCTCACACCCGAGAGAAACGACGCAATTAGCATCAAGTTTTGGTTAAGTTACGAGCATTTGCTCACACGTAAGTGTGGCGCGCCTGCCCTGCCCACAAGGCCTTTCTAACCTTTTTCAGTGTTATGTAGTACTTACCTAACTGCTGGATTTGTATATATTCTTTTTATTAAAAAAATATCATCAATCCCTTTCTAACAAGCGGAAATCTAACTAATACCCCAGGTAGATTTTTATATCTAAAGATCTTATCTGTAACTAATCTACTCTTAACTAAAGAGCTTATGTGTAAAACGAGATTTTTTTCCCTCGAAATAAAGATTTCAATAATCGATTAAAGTTAAGCTTATTCCGGTTTCATTAGGGTTCCGTACCTAAAAAGGAAAAAACGGAACTCTTATAGGATCACTTTGCTGTCCATCCGTCCGTCTGTCAAGACCGTGTTTCTCAGGAACTCGCGGAGGTATCAATCTGAAATTCATATCTTATATCTCATGTCTACTGTCCCTTGGAGCTGTGAAAAAATCAAACTTCTAAGCCAAAGCAATTAAAAGATACAGCCGTTTATGCCGCAAAATTCTGCAAATTTTCGAAACTCTCACGGGAATCAAAACCTTCAGGATACTTCCCGTAAACTTAGAATCTTGAAATTTGGTACGTCTTATTGTACAGATAAAGGAAAAAAATGCGAAAACAGTAAATTTTTAAAGATACTATCACTTTTATTTATGTCGGCGTAGAGGTATTAAATTGAGTTTGTACGGAACACTCGGTGCGCGAGTCCGATTCGCACTTGGCGGGTTTTTTTATCACTTTATACCTACTAAAGGAAAATTCAAACTTTCATTTGAATTAATATCTATTTATTTTTCAGTCAACTTAGATCAAGTGCTGTCTAATAGGAGGCTACTTCATGCATACATCAAATGCACTCTAGACAAAGGGAAATGCACTAGTGAGGGAAGGGAATTGAAATGTAAGTACACCACCACATGATGAATAGAGTCTGTGCGGAAAGAGAATGGGATTTAGATTGGAGGGCGCTGTTAGTGTTTTTCTACCGTATTTGTAAGGTTTTAACCCTTTTAGACATGATTAAATACAAAGAACCGCAAGAAATCACAACAACAAAGAAATCCGTATCAATACAAAATTTTGACATTTAACAGATTGCTGGGTTTGATTGCCAAATAAAAATCTTAATTTTAGTTCCGTTTTTCGCCACGCCCATTCTCTTTCCGCACAGACTCTCTCTAACTATATTTTCTTCGTATATCAAGTAGATAATCAAAAACTATTGGACACGTATTTTGGAAGTGAAACTTCTTTACGCACGCTTGACTTGGGGGGGTAAGCTGGCGACTGCGTTACGCGTTACGAAAAGTGTGTTCGGGCGAGGTGAATGGGAGTTGAGTGGGACATGTATATATTGTGCATATATATATATATATTTAGATACGATAAAGGAGCTCGATGGCGCAAGTGGTTAGCGCGTTCGGCTGCTATTGTTGAAGTTAAGCAACTTTCGCAGAGGTCGGTCATTGGATGGGTGACCAATAATCTTGTATTTCGAGTTCCGCCGTGTTTCGGAAGTCACGTTAAGCCATTGGTCCGGGCTGCACCTGCAGTCATTAGCACCCGCCAATCCGCACTGGGCCCGCGTGGTGGGTCATGGCCCAATCCCCCTATTCCATTCATAGGGAAGGCCTGTGCCCCAGCAGTGGGGACATTAATCTCTATATATATACATACAGATGGAGCAAAAGAAGTTTCACTTCAGTCGTGTGGTCATAAGCTCGTTTTTATTAAGTTTATGAAAACATTTCAGAAATAATATCGATTTAAAATGTCGCATAACGTCACGTCGTGGTACGATTTCTACTTAGAAGTGACACAACGACCCGTCTCTCCCGACTTAAACTAGCTTTATCTTTACAATTGTTTGGTTGGTTGACAAAAGAAAAAATAAATGTCCATTATGCTTTGATCATCTAACTAACGGACTAAATATAACTTAGTTTACCCCGTCAGTGGTGTCGATTCTGGCAGGATTCTCTAAACTTAAAACTAAATTTAACATCGGTCTGTCCTTTTCATTCTGTATAGAGGATAACAAAGATACACTGTTGTCAAATTTAAGCTTAGCTTTAGAGAATCATGCCAGAATCGACACCATTATCCCTATTGCTTCAAGTCTACGTACTGCTTAGCAATAATTCAATAATAATAATATTCGCTGGATGCTAAGAAGGAGCGTGGTAAAAAAAGGAACTTTCGGCAAATCAACTGTCACTTTTTACTTACAAAATTTACGTATCCTGCACGGATTTTATAAATAAAAACGAGCGAGCCTTACAGTAATCGCGTATGATGTGTAACATTTGAAAGCTCACCTTATATTAGTAAAAAAAGAAATAAAACCTACTACAAAAGGAATAAGCCATTTGAACATTATGTTCTTAAATCAAATCAAATAGCGCGTGCTTCCCAAACTTCCTGATACATACTTCCGTCCCACTTCACGTAATCACTCCCACAAATTGCACGGAAGCGAGAGGAAAGATGTTACACATCAATAATACTAATATGAAATAGGTTTATTTAAAAGTTTTCGGTGTGTACCTTAAAAACAGGCCGTGATAGAAACAAAATACACCCACTCCATTGCCTCAGAAACTAATAGAAAAATACATAATAGCAATCAGTTTTTCGGGTACCAAAATCGTGTAACGCAGTGTAACCTTTTAGAAACATCGCTATTAAGCCAGACTTTATTTACTTACTTCCAATAAAAGTTTTAATGGTATCTGAGAAAATGAAAGGAAATATTGTCAGTGTAAGTACAGGCGCGTACATAGCGATCCGTTTTACAGGTCCGTTATTTGATGGCGAACTACATACGCTGCATATTTTGTTGGATCGGTATTTTGACGTAACAACGTCTTAAATTAGGTTGCGGCTGGGAGTCACTTATGAAAAAGTGTAACGCTCGGTAACGTTACGATGAGTCTCGTAGCATGCTGGAACCCCGTAGCCGTGTAGCAAGTTTGCTACGAATCGTCGTAGCGTGGTTGCATGCTACGATGGTATTCACAAGCACAATGCATTGTAATATGTTTTTTTGACGTATTATATATATTTCTATAGTTAAAATTTGTGCAATTCTTATTTTCATTCAATTCCTTGTTCCTATTGTGCAATTTAATTATATTCATATCAATAAATATTCTACCGAGAAAAAGACGTTGTCACGTAAAATCTTCGCCCGTAAAACCGACTTTACAGGCAACCATTTTTTTATTGGATCCAGAATACTGTATTGTGTATGAACTACTTGTATGAGGAGGTAGTTAGTTAACTGCAAGAACAATTGCAAAAAGAGTAATCACAAATTCTATAATTTCCACGTGCAAGTTGGAAACGAGAACAATGAATAAAACGGATAATAGTTGTCAAGAAAGTAAACACACTTTTAGGGAAACTTTTTTTAAATAATTTTATGTATTTTGTAGAAAGTAGAACGCTACAATTACATCTTCCACATGTTGAGTCAAAACTAATAGTTTTCGTTTTATTGTCGTTTGTGGTTGGAAAGCTACCTCTCCACCGGAAATATTAATGCGTCGATCAATATCTAAATAATTCTATTATAACTTTTAACCATTGAACTACGGTACTTGTAACCCCTCATTTACACCAAGGTATAAAACATGGCTTTGACAAATTGTATACAATATTTAAAGAAAAGTTTAACTAGGAAAAAAAATCCACGCGGACCAGGCAGCGGACGGGACTCGAACCCGCACCCTTCGCAATCCGGGTGAATATGCACTGACCAATTATGCTGCCACGGCCCTGATGGCCGCGTCGAAATTTTCCTAGCCTTAAGCTGCAAGCTGTTTCTATTTTTTTTAAGCATTTAAATGTTAGATGTTTAAATCTAAAGAAAAGTTTGACTAGAAATAAACTTTTCTTTAGATTTAAATTAGATGTTTAAAGTTTAAAAAAATAGAAACATAACTATAATTGCTATTTCTTCTTTCAAATGTTTAATACTTGAAAAAGTATTCATTTGATATTGTGGGTTACCAACAATGCGAAGAGATGGCGCTGTCTTGCAGCCTTAGAAATACTAGAGGAAATATCTGAATGTTTTCTTTCTTAAAAATGTATCTGCTAGGAGTACACTACGTCTTTACCTAAAATGTTGTTGCATAGATCAATAAATCTTTTCTTACTTAAATTACAGCCACAGTCGGTATATTTGTTGGGCCTGGATCTCAAACCTCTAATCAATAACTAGTTTTTACGGGTTAATGCACGAAACTTTATTTATTTATTGACGTTTCGTAGCCTTTACAGGCTTCGTCGTCAGAATAACTAGTTTTATTTAATGAGTGATGTGCGTGAAAACCTAAGAAACAAATACAATAACTAATTGTTAGCAGGTGAGAAAGTCTGCTTCGAAACTTAGTTTTATAGAGAAAGTAATTATAACTCCTGGTTTGGATATTATTTCCGACAACGTGCCCATTGAGAATAATTTGCAAAATACTCAGATTACTGACCTATTGTTCTAAAATCTGAGGGTTTATATTCATCTTTCAATGCCACACGTAGTTCTACCCCATTTCACGAAAATTGCATCAATATAATAATAAAAACTGGAAAATAATCGTTTGTACAATAGTCCAAAAATAATAAAATTGAAATGTAACTTACGAGTATAATTATGAATAAAGCTCTTTTCCGATTCTTTCCAGTTGTGTTTAACGGCGTTCATGCAAATCGAAAACGTTTCACAAGATCCCCAACTGAGTTTAAGGGTAATTACATTTCTCTAATTATTCGTATCGTAAAATTAAACCTTTCCATTTCTGAAATACGATTCTTAAGTAGTACCGCTATGTAGCTACTTTGTTTCTTAAGCTTTTGCTGATATGAAACATTTTAAAAGGTTTCATAAAATTGCTTTTGCGGACGAATCGCTAACGGTGGAAATGTTTATTCTTCTACAGGGGTTATTAACAGCGTTGAACAATGATTTTTAGTACATTTAAGAAAAGTAATAAGAAAAAGTGTATTGTTATTCATAATTAAAGTTTATATGAAGAAGTCGTTCAGAAAGCTAATATTTTTATATAAATAATTCAGGATGCAAAATTCTATCTTAAGTCGAGTATTATTAATCTTAATGTGATTGGTTTTTATCAACCAACTACGCTAATGCTTCAGGAGTTACCACTTGGCCGAAACCAAACTTAGTTTAAAGATTTTAATCACTTAGGCAATACTGCTTTTTTTATTTTTATTTTGTGCCAAACCATAGCATTTGACTAAAAAATATTTTATAAAATGAAAGAGGACCAAGAAATTATTTGTTAAACAATAACTTTCCAAAAAAAAACTGACAGATTGCCATTAGTTGTTTTGTATTTATTTTTTTCTTTGCGATGTGGATATTTTGGAAAAGATTTTTGCCCACATATTAGTAATCTACTAGCAAACCAATGAACCAAATGTTCACCAAAACCTGATTTAAAAAAAAATGTATTTAATTAATTGAGAACTTCGGAGATTTTGTGTGGTTTCGGTTGAAATTCGTGATTTCTCGAAAACCGGAAGTGCTACGTTACTCAAATCCGGTTTGTAGTCTTATCAGACTATTCTTAACTTATAACTTATATATTCTCTTTATCTATCTCTTACGGTTTGGCCGCTGAAACAGCACCACAGACAGACGGACGGACTTGTCTAATAGATAAGAGATTTATAAAATCACATAATAAAATGGTAGGAAAGTCAAACGATGAACAAAGGTGTGGTCTACAATAGGTACCGAAGCCAAAAATATAGTTTTTAGAATCTTTGTCTGTTTGTCTGTATGTATGTCGGGGAGAAACTCAAAAAGTACATGTATTTACTTCAAATTTGGCACGCATATTATTAAGAAGTCGGGTCAACATATTGGCTACATTTTATCACGCTATCACCTACGGGGTACGAGCAGTGAACCTTTATTTCTAACTAACTCCACGCGTGCGAAGTCGCGGGCGGCCGTTAGTCTATTTATAAACATAACGAAACGGTAGCCACCTGATACATAAAAGTGTAATCGGTGGTTCCTTGAACAACAATACAGAGCGACTAGCTACTATATATGATTATATTTAATTTCTGGCAGTAAATTTAATTCTATTGTTATCTCGACTTGCTGATGTTGCCCTAATTCATATGTCTCCCATAATATTATAATTGTGAGGTGGAGGCAGAATACCAGCGACAAGTCGAGACTTGGCTGTCACATGCTGAGCCACATCACTTTTTTGTTTCAATTAAATATTTGTTTCCATTCTATTTATAATATTATCAATTGTATTTTGAAACAAATAACTAAATTTATTATTACAAGAAAAAGGGTTAAGGGTTTTCTCTATCTGGCAGAATCTTGTTGCTCCGAAATGCATTAGGCAAAAACACTTGGCATAATCTTCTTCGAACGAACGTATGTGTTGTTTTTTAATTTAATAATTGTTTGTGGCAAAATGTTAATTTGTCCGAATTCACAATGGCATACTTTTAAAATGGCATAATTTTATAGATACTTACCTCTGGCAACATTTTATTCTGCATAATTTCGTTAAGAATAATCGGTGTTTGTGGTCAGTGGGATAGGATAGTGTTATGATTGTGAACAAAATTTAGCGCAAACCAATCGAGCGATCGACCATGCTGCGGGAGTGCCCGGCGAAACGCTAGGCACCCGATGCAATAAATAAATAAACAAGGAAAAGTTAAATATTTGTATGCCAAAAAAGAATTCAAAATATTTAAATTATTGTGGATAACATCCACAATAATTAAAAAGCAGAGCCATCATATCGTATCATAATTCATGCCTAAAGATGATTTTGGATTACAAAATAATGCGTTTGTCTGCTAAATGAATCAATGACAAATGATTTTCTGCGAAATGAAGTTGATGCCATCCGCTAATACAAAATTAAAGATTTTACAGTACAAGGTAGACCCAACAAAAATAAAGTATCACAATCACAATGAAATATTAACATTTAATCGTAGACAGAATATGATTGCTGTCTGTCACCATAATTGCTTCAATGATGGCATTAAACACCTGTATACATTTTTCTAATAAAATATTCATCCTGTGGTTAAAAATATAAACTGTTTAATTTTCTTAAATAGAAATAATTTACTTTAAAATCATACGCAGTACAATAAATTACAATATTTTGTAGTCGATCGAAGTTGGGGCAAATGAAATGAGACGTTACAAATTACAGTTTTACACAACTATAATATTATTTTATAAGACCCATGTTAAGTGGTAACAATTTTCAGTAATAACTAAAAATTGTTACCACTTAGTTGCTAACTTTAACAGTCTATAAAATACCACTCATTCGGGAACTATAAATTCGGAAGAATTAGTTAACATGAATGACCTATTAAAACTTATTTTTAAAAGTTTTTCTTTATCTTGCAATATATGTATTTATGTTCGGGAGGAGATGTACGTTTTTGAAGAGCTCGATGGCGCAGGTCTTTGACTCATTCGGCCTGCGATCGTGAAAGCTAAGCAACTTTCGCAATGGTTTGTCATTGGATGGGTGACCAAAAATTTATTACCTCGAGTTCCCCCGTGCTTCAAAAGGCACGTTAAGCCAGCCGGAGGCATCTGCAGTCGTTAGCACCACAGAACAAAGAAAGAGGTTAGAAGGGTGATCATAGTCCGTTTGCACGGGAACCGATGTCGCCGGCTCGCCCCCGCTTCACTTCCACTTAACAGATAATAGCCAATCAAACTAGGCGACATCAAACAGTCAAACCAATCAGCGCTCACACCCGTGAGCAACGACGCAATAGCAACCATGTTTTGGTCAAGTTATGACCATTTGCTCACACATAACCTTTTTCTGTGTTGTGTGGTTAGCACGCACCGAACCGCACTGGACTCGCATGGTGGGTCACTTCCCAATCTCCCTATTCCACCCATAAGGAAGGCCTGTGCCTCTGCAATAAATATATAAATGAGCTGATAATGCTAATGATGATTTTTGGGTTAAATCTTGTTACTTGAATTTCAGTAGTAGTAGTCAGTTAGTAGTAACTAGCAAACCAGTGAACCAAATGGTCACCAAAAAAAAAATGTATTTAATTAATTGAGAACTTCGGAGATTTTGTGTGGTTTCATTTGAAATAGAAATCACGTGATTTCTCGAAAACCGGAAGTGCTACGTTACTCAAATCCGGTTTGTAGTCTTATTAGACTATTCTTAACTTATAACTTAAACATTCTCTTTATCTATCTCTTACGGTTTGGCCGCTGAAACAGCACTTGTCTATTAGATAAGAGATTATAGTCAACCGATTGAGATGAATTTTTCATACTCGTTTAGTTTAAATGACAATGCATAAGACTATTCTATATGACGATCTAAATCCAACATTGCGGACGTCTCACAATGGCGGCCTAGTAATTGGTTGTGCACTGCCATGATATGGCTATCAAATAAAAGAATTTCTTGCGAAGAACATGAATTAGGCGTCCCAAATAGACGCCCTATTATCAGTCGATATTTATCGGATGCGTTATTGCGATATCTGTTTTTAGCACATTATGTATGAGAACGGCTAAGAAAGAAGATGCACATTGCTGCTATAATAACGACGTAATAGAAGTATGAGGAAATATCGCAATAACACATCCAAAATTATCGATCAATAAGAACGCGCCTATAGACGGAAAGCTTCAACAAACGTCTGCGTTCAATTGCAATTTAGATAAAAGCTTGTTTTTTAACAGAATACACTTATTTCAGCTCACATCGCCGAGGCTCTGCAAAATGGCTGCGAGAAATGCACAAACGCACAAAGGGCAGGGATGAAGAGGGTTATTAAACACCTGATGACGTATGAGAAAGCTTATTGGACCCAACTGGTGGAAAAATTCGACCCGGCACGGGAGTACTCACAGAAATACGAGAAGGAATTGAGCACTTTATAGAGTATAATGACATCGTCGTGTTTCCAATAACAATCGAAGCAAAAACATACTGGTTCCGAGAATGTTCAATGATAAAAAGATAATTCTACTCACTTTTTTATAATAATTGATTTGTTAATGATAATTTATGTTTCTTCTACGTTTTTATTGTTAGTAGTTTAGGAAATCATTTATACTTACCTACTTTTTTTAGCAATTACAGAAACAGGTTTTCTGGTACTTCTAATCAGTTTTTTTAATTGTAAATACTATGTTCTGAGTTTTACCCGATATTAACTGGTCTTTTATCATATTTTTTTCTTACACGAGTCATTGCGCAGCAAATTGTAATACCATCAAATTCTTTTTTTACTTTTTAAATCTATAAAATCTTCATTACTATCTTGCATTATTATAATTTCAAGAGAGCAGTCTTACTAATGTATTTATAGAAAATATCATTGTTTACATAAACGTTACATATATTTCAATGAAGTGATACCTATTCCAACACTTCACATTCTTAATGGTATTTTTTTTCAAATCTGCACTTTGAGAATTGACAATATTTCGGATTTTTCTCCTACCAGCAGATGAGTAGGTTCTAATAATACATACACTAGATGAGTATTATACTTTACTTGAGTCAGTGTGTATTTTTAAGTAACATTTTCACCGCTTATCAACTTTAATAACTTTGTAAGCTACTTCAATTTTCATGAAAATAAATTCAAAAAGTTTGTAACGCGACTTCGCGCGTGCAATATCATAAAGTCCAGTTTGTTTGACTAACCACTATAGCTTTCATAGTCAAGTAGATGTTTAGCAAAATACTTATAAAACTTATAAACAATAAAAATTATTTTCATTAAAAAGTTGATTTAAATAAATTGAATATCCTGTGATCAAAGTGAAGTTAGTTGCGAGCGCGATCACGAGGTTTGCGAGTCGCGGCTACTTTCATACCAATTCTTATCATACAATTGTAAATACTTTTTCTTACTTGTAAAATATTCTATGATTTCTAGTTATTCTTTAAATACATTATGATTTTCAATGACGAAGATGACTTGTTTTTTCTTCTTCTATCAGGTAGATTAATTTAAGATTATTGGACAAGTAATTTTTATTTCTTCACATAACCCAAAAATTACAGTGATCTATTGATTTAAAATGTTGCGCGACGCCAGGTTTTCATACAACTTTTACTAAGAAGCGACATTGTTTGTTTATTATTGTTTGATTAATTGACAATAGAAGAATAATTGTTCATTGTTTTTTAATAATTTATACGACGGACTAAATAGAATTTTATTTTTCCTCGTCATCGTCCCTATTAAGATTCCTTAAGATTTTCATTGTTTGTAAATATATAAGCAGCATGTTTCAAAAGCAGTTTTATTCTTTTTCCTTAAAAATCTTTACACAAGATGTCAACAATTCGCTTGTGAAATAGCATATTGCAGAACATTTTTAGGCAGAAGGCCGCCCGTAAGGCAGACTTTTCAAACGCGACGCGACCCTTACGCCACGCGACTCGCGACGCGTTCGACGTAATACGCACACACACAGATCATAGATCTGTGTGTGTGCGTATTACGTCGCATTTGATTTGACTCAACACACGCGGGGCATCGTGTTTCAAATGTCTGTTTTGATGATTAATGCTCCATTATTATAATGATATTTACAAAATAATTTCAATAAATAATTTTATTTTTGTTCCAAAAAAGAACTAAAAAGTAATAAATAATTTTAAGTCTCCCATGCCAATATACTATTTTACAGGAACATTATATCCCATTGTTTTTAATAAAAGCGAGTTACACTTTTTTTCATTTCTCTTGCCAACAAATATAACAAGCAATAAAAGCTTATTTTTTTAAAATGTCTTTTTATTTATTTTTAACTTTTTAGTATTGATATGATTTCGAAAAAAGTATATTTCACCTTTTCTTTGTGCAGTAGTTTCTATTTGATTATTTTGTTCCCACATAATGTGACATAAACCAAATGAGATCCAAATCTGATTGAATTGCATATAGATATTATCAAGGACCAAAGTACTCATCAAGACCAATCAAATGAGCTCAAACACGATGCGGATACGTCGTTTTATTTCGAAGACCCTATAGCCGCCTTCCAGCTTCATCATCAGACCCTGGTTACCACATAGGACCAAAGTACTCACCAAGGCGAATCAAACGAACCCAAACTCGTTGGGACTGTGTCATTTAATAACGGACTTCCTGTGGTCACTTTCTAGCTCCACCATTATACCCTGGTTTACATCTATGGGGTACAAGGGTACTTGGCAAGACGAATCGTACGAACGCAGACTCGATGGCGTTATGTCGTTTTATAACGGAATTCCTATGGCCACGTTCCAGTTCCATCACCAGACCCTGGATATCATCTAAAGACCAAAAACTCATCGAGAAAAATTAAACGAGCTTAAACTTGATGGGGCTACATCGTTTCTTTACAGAATTCATATAGCCACCTTCCAACTAAATAATCAGATTAGCCACAGGTACCATATAACTGCATTGTCACTGTACTTACATCAGTAAGTATACCAAATTTCAGCTAAATCAGATAGCAATAAGTTATCGAAAAATGATTTACAAATTTTGAAGATACATTTTTTTTATATATTTCAAACACACACCAATTAGCCTAGCCCCAAAGTAAACACTGTATGGCTTGTGTTATGGTAACGGATAGAATACATATACTGTACATATATAAGTATACTAGCTGACCCAGCGAACTTCGTACCGCCCTAAAAAAATAGGGGTTGTCCATCGGACAAAATTATGAATCTAAACCATTCTCAGACCCCCTTGAACACACACAAAAAATTTCATCAAAATCGGTCCAGTCGTTTAAGAGAAGTTCAGTGACATACACACTCACAGAAGAATTATATATATAAAGATTTATATAGAAATAAATATTAAACATCCATGACTGGAGTTCAAATGCTCGTATTCATCACACAAACATCTGCCCCCCCCTCAGGATTCGAAGCCGGGACCTCTCGAGTCGGCGACACCATGAAACCCGGCGTACAAACCACTCGGCCACGGAGGTCGTCTACATAATTATTAAAATCACTAAACAGTACTCCAAATAACCCAATTTTAATAATTAATGCATTTTTTTATAGGTACAGTTAGAGTCTGTGCGGAAAGAGAATGGGATTTAGATTGGAGGGCGCTGTAGTGCTTTTCTACCGTATTTGTAAGGTTTTACCCCTTTTAGACATGATTAAATACAAAAAACCGCAAGAAATCACAACAACAAACAAATCCGTATCAATACAAAACTTTGACGTTTTACAGACTGCTGGGTTTGATTGCCAAATAAAAATCTTAATGTTAGTTCCGTTTTTTGCCACGCCCATTCTCTTTCCGCACAGACTCTATTCCAAAACGCTTTGTAATATTCCGCTTTCAGGATACAATTACTAATGAACCCCTATCCCTGTGGCAATGAAGTTACTGTTTCCCATTTGTCACCAGGAATTACGCCCGGGTGTAACTGGGGGTAATATAAGGAAGAAAGTTGACAGAGTTTCAACTGCACTACCTGGCAACAGAGTTCAATTTAAGATACGTGAATAAATTTTTGTTAATTTAAACAAAATTGTATATCACATACAAGTAGCTTAAAACTCTTATGTGTTTTCATAATAATTAGAACCGGGGTACGATGGTGTAATAAATTAAGAAATTTATATCCACTGTTCAATTTCCAACACATTTTTATTATTATTTGTTTCAGCTTGGGCAACGGAATAGTCCGATATAAACTCCAGGGGTTTTCAGATTATGAGATATTTATAACACCTTGAATATTTAAAAAAAAACTAGTAAAATAATTACTCGGTCCAGGCATTAAAAAAAATCTACTAACATTTTCTTTACAATTAAGTATCTGGCAGTCAAATGCTTAAAAGTATAAATACAATAAATATTACAAATCTTTTAAAATCTATTACTGAAAATCTAATTAAAAAAGTGCGAGGCTACTGGAATTTCATAGTTCGTTTATTTTTATGCGTCATAAACCATTTGCCTGGTATATATAATTTATATTTAAATTCACTTTTTTGTACGGAAACTAATATCGCTTTTGCTTCCTATGGCTCTTATTGATGTTAACAGCAACCGGAAAAAATACTAAACCAACCGTGACGCCGGGATCCATGTTTAAAACTAGGGTAATCCCGCTCAAACCGATAAAATCCCGGTCAGTCTGGGTCAATCCCGTTCACACGTATAGTAAAGCTTTTAATAGGATGTAGAATCTCCTGTTGTAAAGTCTATTTCATGCAAGACATTCTTAATTACCCCAACTAACCAACCTGATGTTAATGTAAGTGGAGTCGAGTCCCATAGATTTCTGAATTAAATCATCCGTAAAAAAAGGGAGAGAGATTATGATCCTCAAAAAAAAAAACAGTCCAGCTCACCAAAACCAGCTCTGAATAGAAAAAGATATAAATCGTCGTTATCTACTCTAGAAAATAATGTTTGGGTTGGGATTACAATGAAGTTGGAATCACGTTCTCAAACAACACATGAAGTTAGCTTCAAACAAACTACACTGTTCTAGTGTTCGCCTTTACATTTACTTCTACCATTCAGGGAATAGAATACAAAGCCACGCTTTCTTTGCTAAACAAAAGCAGGACAAGTTCCAATTCCAATTTCCGATGTCGAAAGAAACAAATTGCTAGTTTTCTATAGTAAAAAACTATTGCCGCTTTGTATACAATTTTCTACTTTCCACCTTTTATAAACTAGGTAGGTAAAGAGCCAAGGACAAAGAGTGCATGATAATAAATTATTGCATGCAATTTAAATGTTTGTGTAATACGGCGCGACCCTGGAAGTTAGCCTTCGCATTTCTACCCCCGTCCCTCAGTCCGTCCGGGGTATAATTCCCTCGGCGATATATGCAAGCATGGTAATTTACAGGTCACTGAAATAAACGGCTTAATCCCAGCTGAA